TATAAAATATAATATAATATAAAATATAATATAATATATTAATAATATATTATATTATAATATACTATATTATATTATATTATAATATAATAATATAATATAATATAATATATTAATAATATATTATATTATAATATATTATAATATATTATATTATACTATAATATAATAATATAATATAATATAATATAATAAAAGATAATAGAATATAATAGAATATAATAGAATATAATAGAATATAATAGAATATAATAGAATATAATAGAATATAATAGAATATAATAGAATATAATAGAATATAATAGAATATAATATAATATAATACAATACAATACAATATAATATGATATAATATAATATAATATAATATATATTGTGTCAAACATATTCTTTAACTTAAAAATTTCAGTTTCAGGTATTTGCTCAGTACGTTATCAAAGATAATATTGGCCGCCATCATCAGGGAGCAAAGGCCTCAACACACATCGACTTCATAGCACCGTCTCCCGAACTTTATTTGGTGCTACCAAGATGCCCAATGCAAAAGGCAAGGTAGCAAACACCTGCATGAGGGATCGCAATTCAGCAGAAAAAGTGTTCAAGACCTTTAGAGAACATGCAAATATGTGAGCATCGGGCAAATATTTGAATTCACGGTCGGTCCTTGTTGGGAATGCCACAAAGCCATAGAGGCGCTCTTTGCACTTCAACCAGTGGGTGTTCCTCAGCTGCTTGTGTCCCAGCTTGAGTGGATTTCGGCCGTTTGCTGCATCGTCTTTTTTCCCTGCCAAAACCACATCAGCCTAGTGTGGAGCCTCTCCTCTTAGCTCTCTAAAACCAAGTGGGACCAAGAGACTTCGATGGCAACTGATTCCATTGTTTCTGCTGAGACTTCAATCTCAACCTCCACCTGCTCAAGCTGGAACCATCACATGAATTCACATCAGCTAAATAAGACTTGTCTCATCTTTTCTCAACATGATTTGATGAGTTCAAACCTGGCCCTACCTGGATTCGTTGTCCGTCTTGGGACAAACGAACTGGGTACACCTGGGCAAGAGATCTGGACACTATACGAACATTCCACACAATCATGTCATAAAATGATCTTGAAAAAATCCAGCTGCAATGTCCTTCATCCGCCAGCCTGCTGTTTCATGGTGAAATCACCTTCCACATTTTCTCCAGTTCTCAAGTTGAAGCACCTGAAGGCGATGCTTCAGCGTGCTTCAGCCACAATGCAGGAACCCACGGCCATGGCACATGTAGTGGCGTGGACAAATCACCATACCATCCGAAGCTTTGGAATCGCTGCTACCTCGGAAAGTGTCAAGGACAATGATGAACAGGACATGTCTGCACAGGCTGAACACTCTTCAAATCTCTTCAAGCAGAATTGTTTGTATCACGATTTCCGCATGTCATGCAACCACAATATTGCAACTAAATAATCTATATAATCTAATTTCCGTTTCAATTAATTCAAATGCATTCGAATGCTATTTTACCCTGGCATATCTTTTTTGATCTGTTTTGTCTCTTTGCAAATCTTCTCTATCCATTTCTCTCCGCTTCTCTACGTTTCCATCTCTATTCTCTTCAATGCCCCTGCGGTATTCACTTCTCTACTATCTCTACTCTCTTCATTTCTTTTCTACTTCCATTTCTCATAATTTCTCTAATTTCTCATAATTTCTCTACATATTCCTCTCCATTTCTCTGCTCTTCTCTTGATTTCTCTCACTATCCTCACTTCTCGACTCTCTCCTCTCTCCACGTCTCAGGCCGTGTCTCTACGTCTCAGGCAGTGGCCCAAGTGCTCGGTTCCAATGTCCTCGATCTCACCGTCACAGAGTGAGCCTCCCATATGCGCGCATCGATTTTCCTGGCAGATTAGGCTTGGAAAACGAAAATTAAACATATTCAAACTAATCAATCATACAAGTAACTAATTCACTTTCAACATCTTTCGACATCACCTGTACATGTGATGGAATATGTGGCAGCATATCACAGGAATCCACAGTGAGTTGCTGGTGAATGTTTTGGACCCATCGTATCCCATCATCCCCTTGAAATGCAGTCCAGGCCGCAAGTGCAAAAAGTTCTCCTTTGTATTTGAACACAGCGATCTGCTCGTTCCTGAACGACCATTTTATGGCTTTATGGTTGTTGGATGTTGTTGGCAAATCATGAGAAACACTTGGGTAGCCACTTGGCTTTGACTACGGTGAATTTGTCTACCTATTCAACTTCAAAATTGTGAACTTCGGGCATGCAGGCATGCCTATGTCCATGTCGGCGATTGTTTGTGCAATGGCATTGTAATGGCATGTGCAGCCACAGAACAATAATAAAATACAAGTAGTCGCTGAAGCTGGCGTAGCAAATGTTGCTCTCAGAGCTTTCCAAGGCATCTGACATAAGTTCGAAGTCCAAGAAACTCCTCCTTCAATTTGAGAAGTTTTGACTGACCTTCGAGAAGCTCAGAGGCTGCACAGACTTCAATCCACTTCTTCTCCTCAGTCACAAGACGTTCCAAGAAAAATCGAAGCAAAGCTGCGTGGTTGTCGTTGCATTGTCACAGACTTGCGTAATCATGCGTAATCCATCTTAATCCTCTGATCCTCACATGCTTTATTGAGGCAGTGACGGTTCGAAGAGGTGTTTCGTTGCCACTTTGGCCTTCTTCCCTGAACCATGGTATCCAATGTATTCAAGTGGAAAACACAACTCGATGCTGCAACTGCATGGAAATTGGACATACCTGCGCTTCATGTGGTACTGCTGCTTCTTTGGCATCAGATTCTTGTAGTCCTCAATGCTTCAGAAAAGAGACTGAAAAATCTGGCGCAAAACCTGCTCAGCACTCAGCTATCCCTTGTCTGCCAAGAGACAGGGTCATGGGTATAGCTCAAACAAACTCGATCAGCATCTCCATAAGTAAGGCCCTTTCGATTTCTCTCTCTGTAGGCCTGGCAGAATTTCACGGCTGAAAATAATTGAATACACATGAATACAGTACACGCAAGAAAGTGCTGAGCATCATTCAGGAGGCTTCCCGACTTCCCGACTATAGATTGTTGGGAAAAAGATGCATCAAGCATGAGCATGCAGAAGCTGCATTAAAAAGCCTGGAAAGGAAATGTCCAGTGGGGAGACACGCAGAAACGAAACGAAAAACACCTGCTAGAGGTACATGCAAATACAGAATAGATATCAGACATGAATAATAGGCAAAATATCTCAAAATACAACAAAATCATGACATCATGACGCCATTGCACCTCTGTTCGGCGGAAAGTTCGGCTCTTTGTCCACATTATAAGGGAGGCGCGCTCACCCTGCAAAACAGAAACACACGTAGTTCCCTACTTGCTTATCTGCCAGTACAAATAGTTTGCAGAAATGTACATTGCATTAAAGTTGAATGCATTTAAATTGCACTGTTTGCCATTGACTGATGCGAAACACTCCCGGTGTGGGGAACAGTGCTGCACCTTTTCAATGTCCATGGCACCATGCCGACGTTTTCCGGAATGCACAACACAGCGTCCTTTGACATGTTTGTACCTCAGCAAGCGACATTGCTTTTCATCCACCAAGTTAGTGCGCTGGTGTGTTGAACGTTTAGGGGCACTGCGGGTCAAACTGGCTAGGGCAAAAAGCACATGACAAAGGTTCGCTAAAATGAAAGTTGCAATATACAAGCAAAATCTAGCAACATCTAGCACATATATTCTAATGATTTCTAGTGACTCGAATGACTCTAATCGGCATGCGCTGGGGTCTCATTGAGGCAGGGTGCGTGTGATGATACTTTCGATGATCTGCTGAATCAAACATGCCGCAAAATGTCAGGTCGTTTCCTTCAAAATTGTCATGGGAAGTAATGCCAAAGTTGAAAGTCACCTAGGCACAGAGTGCACATCGGCAAGCTTCATGCAAGTGACTGCCTGACATTGCCTGACTGATGACTTGCATGAATGTTGTGATTTCTGAATGTTTCTGTTTAATCCGATTCCTTCCAGGTGTTCTATGGTGTTCTGGGATTTCTGAATGGAGAGACAGCATCCAAATCTGACAATCCAAGTGGAGGGGCGTCGCATTCATCAATGTGCATGTCCAAGTGCCTTGGTGTTGAAAGCTGATTCATTCATGACAGTGACATGACACAAACATGTAGATAGAAATGTAGAAAGCGCTGGTTGGGCCCTCTTCTGCCAAGCTTCTTGTCATCAGTTGGGCGGTACTGAACAATGAAGGAATGATGATCATCCAAAGTTCCGTCTCCACTGCTTCACCCTTGAAGGCTGTTATGCGATCTTCATCATTTCCAGATAGCCTTCCCAAATTTAGGTCAACATGGCTCTCGTTCAATGCATTTATTCAAGAGAGAATTTGCGGTACACTCTGGTTTTACCTCCAAAATGTAAGGCTTTCCTGATCTTTCCTGCTAAGTTTTCCCTCAAATTCTGGGAGGATTTTGGCACACTCAGCAGCGTGGTTCAAGAACCAGCCTTGCGCCAATGGGCAGGAGAACTTCCTTGAGGACCGCTGAGAAAGCTGGTCGCAAGCCTATCCTTAGTGGGACTCAAACGAACCAGCGGGCTACGCCACAACGGTAATTGTCGCTACGATTGACTCTGCATTCATCATCATGAGCTCTCTCATAATCATGTGAGTCAGCATCATCGCCAGCATGGCAATGATAGTCAAACAGCAAGCGCAAACCAGTGAAACCTAGAATGAATGGTGGCTCTATACAGAATGCACATTACCCGTCTTTAAAAAATGCAAAAAAAATGCGTGTGTAACGTAGAAACTCTTTCGCAACAGTCCTATCAGCTGTCAGGTAGTCTGCTTCCATGGTTCTCATTCAAAACGAGCCCATAGTTGTTCATGCTATTCGGAGCCCTTGAGGGAAGACCGCTCTGACGATAGTGCTGGACTTCCTGTCAGGGCCAAGCACTTTCCCATCTTTGCCAGTCAACAGCATTCCTTACAGTATATTTCCCTGATTGATATCACCTTTCAACCTTTAAAGGGTGGTAACAAGCATCCAACCACCATAGGTCACATAGGTGATGTTTTGCGATAATTGCCTACAAAGGGACGTATCTTTGGGACCTTCCCAATGTCATGCCGCGGCCATACCATGTCCTTCAGCAGCAGCTCGCAAAACTCATCCGTCAGGGCCGGGAAGCTGAAAATTCCCGGTGCCTCGACTTGGAACCCCTCGAAGCCATCCAAATCCACACCTTGGCAACTGGGCAAAGGGAGCAACACAGACACCCCATAGCACCCAACTCACCCAACTACCATACCGGGGATCTACCAATAACGTCCAATCCCATCTTATCACATCTCGTGACTGTATGACGAAACCACTCTCGACCGCCTCTCAAACTCAAACAGATTGTTCCGCTCGATTGTCTGTTGGTTGGCAGTCTTTGCAAAAGCAATACCCCAAAATCGATCTATATCAGATCAATACATGTAAAGCTACCGTCAATTCCTGCAAAATCGTCTATGTCGAGCGACTTTTGAAGGCATTCTCGTCACCAGTGTTCTTTGCACTTTGCCATTTGCTAATGACGTCAAGAAGTTCTGGGCGAACCCAACGTCTGCAATTCAGTGGTTCAAAAAGCTCCTGTGCCATGTCCGCCAAGGAGTTGCTCCAACCCTCAAATCATCGAACTAAATCGACCATTTTCCATAGATACCATAGACACCGGCTGGGTAATAAATAGGCAACACAAGTTTGAAGTGATGTTTAAATTCTGCATTGCTGTTTTTTTAAAGCACTTATGCTGATCTTTGTGCGAAACCACTACAGTACCAGTCTGAGTAATAGTCTGTTCGATGCACATGTCAAGTAACAGTCCTTGTTGAGTGATCTTTCTGGATGATAGTCGGATGGGTGCAAACGACGCTTGGGAATTGCAGGAGCCTTTGGCTGTACCTGAACGAGCTGCCCCAACAGCAACTGCCCATCATGGAGATGCACAAAACCACTGGACACACGGAAAGAGATGCTGGGTTTTGAATTCTCTACCATGTTTGCGAATAATTTGCTCGAAAATGGACGAAGTCAGACTCATACATTAACAGCTCGGATATGTGCGTAGTAATGTCCAACTCAAAAATTCCTTTCTGTGCATAGTAATGTCCAACTCAAAGTTAAACACAGAGACAAGGAAGAGCGTGAAGCTAACCCAAAAAACATGATGTCAATGATGTGTGCAAAGACACACGAAAACACCTGCAGAACTGCAGAATGTCCAAACAGCAGAACTGCAGAACTGCACTTCCCAGATCTTCCCAAGGCACGGGAGCTGGAGGTCTTGATGGCGATGGCTTTGCATCCTCCTCATCAGAGATCTGTAGTTTGTCCCATTTGGAATAGTCCACCATCCTGGCAATTTGTGCATTTTGCATCATTTTGCGGTAAATTCCTACAGTCAACAACGAATTCCCAGAAAAATGCAGGAATCTGTCTGCGTTTGTCACAATTGAGACTCTGATGCCTGGTCTTCCTGGTCTTGGTATGGTTTGGCTCGCTTGTTGGAGCATAATATGACTAGAGCCAGCAGCACCGAGTCAGCACAGGTGCAGCAATGGCCAAAATTCGACAAACGACATCCGTACCGTATATCTTGTGTGATTTGAAAAATCTGTACAAATGTGTGGAAGATATAATTCAGACTTAAAACCTTTTGTTGGCATACTACAAGTGTAATGGCCCTACAAACCAAAATCAAATGGCATCAATTGCCTATATCTATACAAATCAAGAATGTCACTTCGGTCGGCAGCAATGACAGCAATGCGTCCGTTGGTCCATTTTTTCTGGAGAATCATGCCGAGCAAAGCAGGACAAGCTTTGCCAAGGCTTCTTTATCCTGCCGGTTTTGGATCACCCTGTCAGCTAATGCCAATCTAAAATCCTGCAATCGCTGATCTGTCGCTGGGTGAAAACGCCTCTTGAGACAGAAACATCGGCAGCGAGACAAGCTGACTTGCTGAAACCGCGGACACTTGGAAGGAAACATTTCCATTGGCCTTCGAGCCCCCAGGGTGATATCACCTGTATACATCTGTATACTGTATAATCTGTATACAGTTGCATCATGTTCCATCATATTCTATCTGTACCTCCTTAGGACCTTGCCGCAAACAGCTTGTCAATCTAAAAACAATCATGGCACATAGGAAAGATGCGAAAATGGTTGCGGCTGCTGACGTGCACTCTCCCTTCCACTTCTGCAAAGCAAAACGCTACAATACAACTACCACATGGGTAATTTCTCGTCACACCCCAGCAGCCAAGTTCAAATTCATTTGGCGTCTAAAGACCTTCTATTCATAGCGCAATCGTGCGGTTGGCTGAACCTATCCGTTAAGTAAACCCAACACACACTTTGCGGGAAACACAAAGTGGCAAACTGTCATGGAGGCAACTACTCCAAGTCTTTTGCATGAAGATGAGACACAATAGTTCGTTGTTGTAAACTCTGCGAGCCCAGCTTTCAACCCTGCATTATCCTGCCACTGTCTATCGAACAAGTTCAATGAATTTCATACACATTCGTCAATTTCATCATGAATTGGTTGACCATTCAAGGGAGTCGCGAAACGTGGTTGTCCGAACAAGGCCTCTGCAACGGTCTGCTCTGAGAGGAGACTGTCCTCGATCCTTGACTTTATATAAAACTGGTCAAAATACGAAGCACCAATCCACAAATATCTGCGGTCGGTATAATAATCAGGATAGTTTACCATGCTTTACCTCTATTTACGCAGTATTCTAATGATATTGATCGTTAATTTCAATACTTCAGCAGGATCTCATGTAAAAGACTTGTGATTCGTGAGCCGCTGCAAAGCGCCAGCACAAGCTGTCTTCTCAGCGACTGAAGATCTCGATTTGCTCGAGTTACCCACGATGCACCTTTAGGTGGACACCTGTGGCCCCTTGGTCCCTGCAATTATTTATGAATCGACTGGAATCAACTGGAATCGACTGGAGCAGATCTGCAGGATCTCAAAAGCAATCGCAAGATCCTGAAGACTTCTTCGATCGCGACTACATCTCCTGCAGTCTGTGCTGCTCCATGCTGCTCCTGTCCTAACTTGTCTGGAGCATCATCTGCTTGGGCTTCTCTTCTATGCTCTCCTTGTGCATCAAGTAATGGCCGGTGCTCCAATTGATACCTTTCAGGCAGTAGAATTCTGCATTTGGATCAAAGCAAACCTTCAGCATGTTCTGCAAAATGATGCCATAGACCCAGGAAATTGCTGATCTGCGACAAATCGGTTGAGCCACTCCGCTGAAATGCTCCTTATGTAGCTGAGCTAAGTGTTGCGCCACAGCCTCTGAGACCTGCTGGTGGGTCAACCACTTATTGTAGCCGAGACCCATCACCAAATCTCTGTCAGTTGACTCACCAGCCACGTAGAGTCCAAGCCATTCGACCAACGCAAAGTTTCCCTTCATGGCTTGGGGCAAATCTGAAACTAATTGTTCGGTCAGGAACTGAACTGTGGCAAGTTCTTGTTGCAGCTCAGCTCCAAATATCTTCTGTTGACTTGCTTTATCTGCCAGCCCTCCTGGTTGCAAGACACCATTGCGGAAGCTGAATAGCTCTGGAGAGGGTCCATTGCCTCGCCTCAACTGTCAAGCTTCTCGAGTTTCCCAAGTGTATCAAGTTTCATTGTGACCATGGTGGGCTAGCAAAGGGGAAAACACACACACACATTGCATAATGTGCGTTGCCAACGTAAAACCTATCTAGGCTGCTGCTACATTGCAAAAACAACAGGGAACTGCGACAAGTCTCCAAACGATTCCAAACGCTGAATCCAAAATACCCCACTGCCCAAACACGAAAAGTGTTGCAACTTGATTCCATGTCAAGACACCAGGCAAGTTGACAGGACATGCCACCGCCAGAAAGCATACCATGAAACAGGTCTTGCCGCAAATCTGGCGCAAAGTCTAAAGCATGCTGCAGTGCTTCCCATTCAGCTCTTGCCTTTTCGGATCTTCAGGATAGAATCTTAGAGTCTTAGAAACTTTGTATTTTCTGTACCAAGGGAATATTATTGTAGGAAAAGAATGGAAAATCGCTTGAGTACCTTCCACCTTATCAGACTCCGGATCCCGAGCTTCAAGGTGCAGCAAACCACATGGCACATTTCATTGGATTTGTAAACAGTTGTAGTTGTACATATAACATCATGGCAAAATCTATGGCAAATACAAACATATCAAGCACCAAAATATGCAAGAAAAAAGTGCCCAACAAATGATGAAACAAACACATATAAATACAGTAACAATAAATTACTTAAAATAAGGCACTTCTTCTTCACCGCTCAGCACCATGAAACGCGCACGTCGTCCAAAAATCCCATCTAAACGATCTTGAAAAAGGTCCAATTGCTCGTGCGCCAACGCTCCGTCCTCCAACTCAAACAGATGAGCAACATTGAGCAACACTCAAACAGTTGAAACTGCTAAATGCTGCCGCTTTTGTTGCGACACGATAAAATAAAAGTCATATTCCCTGGATACTGTGTACAGGTGTGTAAATATGATAATATAACATTATACTCAAACGTATTCAATTAAATGTGCTTCTAAGATCTTCTAAGTATTACAACTATCTCATTATCGAGTACCATACAATATATATATATATATTCATATCATAACATTCATGCACTTCTGATTGGTGCTGCGAGTCTGGTTGCAATGCAAACAGGATCAAAGATATTTGAAAATCACAAACTGACTTTGAGTGAAGAAAACATATCTGTGTTGTCCTGCATGGCTTGACGTACGCCAGCTGTTGCTCCAAGCAGCACACGACCAGTTTTTGGAAGTTCATTCTCCAAGAGCCGAAGCAAAGACTCGAGTTTTAAATCATCTCCAAGTGCCACTGCCAAAGGATCGCCTGGAGCATACTGATGAGCCAAAAATAAAAACAGAATACGCCAATACACTAAACTCACTAAACTCACTAAACGTACACAAACATGCTGAAGATGGTAAACATCAGGGTGCTTCATCATGAAGAACTGGTATTCTCTAGCAGCGAGGCACCTTGATACAGATTTGATACAGTCTTGATTCTACAGTATCTTCTCCCCCTACAGAATGCAAGGCAACAATAGGATCAATAGGCAACACAAGACTGAAATTTGTAACAGTCCAGCCTCTCCAATCGGATTTTTCCCATGACACATGAGACAAGCCATCATCAGTGAAGAAGAGCGCTCTGGTAGATCCACTTCCGCAGTCCACCAAAGTCACAGGTTCATCAATTGGTTGGACCAGAACCGTTGGAAGCACCGGCTGCGGAAGTTGCAGCAGTGGCAGCTGCTTCAACAACTTCCATCCACTGCTGGGCCGCGTCCGCTGCAGCGGCCGGGCGCGCCGCGGCACTTGTCGAGCCGCCGCGGCACCAGCAGACAGCACACCTAAGCGAAGATGGTGGCAGAACACCCTGAGAATCCAGAGGAATGGAGTGATGAGTGATGAGTGATTTGAGTTTCATGTATACATCAGGATCTCCATCAGGCAACAGCTGACAGCAGGCTTGGAGAATTTCAAGCTTCCTTTCTGTTTCAACAGGGTTCGCTGCTTCGCCTGCGGCAACTGCACATGCCGCAGCATCCATCATGCCTGACCGTGCAGTCACTACGTGCAGCTTCCAGGCAATGCACTGTTTGATTTGATGCCTTACAAGAGTTTTACAAGTAACAACATGTAGAGCGCCAACTTCAAATCTCCAAACACATTATACTATGTCCATTATTCCATGCATGTCATGTATTATATTTATTATAAGACATCATCTCACATATATTAAAAAAAAAACTCAGAGAACCCCCATGGACCTCCAGCTTCCGGAATGAAGCGTCTGCAAACGCGGGAGGTCGCAGGCCGAGCCTCGGTTCACGGGCGATGTTGTGCCCTGGGCTTGTATCGTTTCAGCTGGATCACAACATATAACAACTGAGTAACTGGAGGTTATGAAATATCACAAAACTATATTAACATATATTGACCTTTGAACTTGGAGGGGCAGCTGTTACTGTACCATGAGCCTTCGTGGAACCAGCCTCACTTGCACCCATCAAAACGACTCACTTGCGCCCACATTCATGTATACTTATCTTCATGTACATCGACAACCTTTTAGGTTGGGACTTGGGGACTTGGGGACTTGGGGACAAGGGGACAAGGGGACAAGGAGACAGGGTGTAGGTATCAAAGTGTACATAAACAGCCATTTCAAGCTAAGGAGGGACTCGCGATCTCATGGATCCAAAGAACGCAGAATGGGAAACCAACACAGAAGTGTCAGCAGTTTGTCCCGAGTTGAGGGCGGGAAGAAGAAGAAGAAGAAGAAGAAGAACGAGAACAACAACAAAATATAAGTATGATATATTATAATATATTATATATACGTAATATAATACTAATACATGTGTAATAATATAGCAAGAACAATCAACACCTTTTGTAATCCAAGTTGCAATGTTTGCAGCTCTTGGGGTGGGTGTCAAGCTGATCATCTCGCAAAAAGTGAGAGCTCGATAGCGCTGTAATTACCACATGCAAGAGAGTGTGGTTGATTCATTCGCCTGATGCTGAGCAAAACCAAGTAATATCATATAAGATACAATAATATGTTTTCCATTGTTTTCCATTCTCTGGTAGCAGTGACTTGTTGCGCAGCTCGTCAATGGAAGGCTTGTAAGGTATACTGCCATACCAAGTATACTTTGTCCCATTCATACTGTGAATGACAAAAGATTATATAATCTTTCTCATTCTTTCTCTAACTTTTTTTGCCACCTCGAGCCATGTAAGGACCAATGAAGCCAATACATGATTCCAGATGACGTCAAGAGGTTTCCAGTACCAGGAACATACCAGCTCGAACTTGCACTGCAAGCAAAACTAAGAACAAGCCTCTCAAGCCTAGCAACTTTCTTCCCTATATATCTTCAACGTTTTGACCCATGGTCACAAGGGAGGCGATGCTGGGAACTACAACATCGTACCACTGTGTAGTCACAGCTACGGACATCTGCAATCATCTGCACCATTTTTGCAGAGGCGAGACAATTCGGGACTAAGCGATAGATGGGAAACAAGGCTGCTGTCGCCTGCTTGTGAAGCACTGCACACCCATCCTGATCAAGGCTGCTGTGAGGTGCCTCCACCAAGTGGTGAATCGCCTCGAAAAGCGCTGCCTAATCTGAGCTTTCCTTCATCTGCGAACGAATGATGGACTAGACATGACTAGACCAGGACATATGAGACAATTGAAATACAATTGAAAGAAAACAGATAGTTGGACCAATGATGATAATATATGATAATTATTCATCAAGCACGATCAAGCACAATTTATGCCAATGACAATGCAACGAGTCCAGTGAAGACTTATGGTGCACGCAGCTCCTTCTTCACGGAACAACCACCTCAGCGCTTTAAAATGGTTTAAAGTAGTAGAGAAAAAAAACCTGGGAACGCTCTCACAACATCTCACAACATCTCACAATCATTGGTGTAGAAATGTGTAGAATCTGAGTAAAATCTGCTACGGCTGCGGCAATTTTCAACAGGTTCGTGTGGCCTCGGTGAAGCTTGTTTCCATTTGATTCAGCAGATTTCTGCAGATCTTCACTTAGGGCATGACCGGGACACTCTTCCTTTTGGCCGTGGAGTGCTACGACACTGTCTCCAGGCTTCACCATGTTAGTTTCCTGTCACAGCTTGAGACTGGATGCCTTTGGTGTATCAAATGTGTATCCAGCCTTGGCTTTCACCAAGGCTTTGGCGATCACGGAATCTGTGCCCTGAAACGATGCTGTGAGGATTGGCACGACCTGAGCCGTGCTTTTTCCGGGTGCTCGATCTTCCTACTCGAATGGGGCAGTGCCGCCATTCTGTCATCAATTACGCTGTCGAGTAGTGTCAAATGCCTGTTATGCCATCGTGATACTGCTCCAAATCCACAGAATTGCATTGAAGCTCAATTGAAGCTGCCAACATCGCACAACATAGATCGAACTAGTATGCTACTGCTAGTGTGTTTAAAACACAGCATGGATAGCATGGTATATCATGGCTGACACGTAACCTCTTGCACACAGTGCAATTAATCATGATTGAATCAATCATGCACGCTTTAAGTATCTTCGAGGCTTCTATCCCGTTATATATTAATATAGATATCCCTAGTCTGTTCCACCTTCTTGCAGCCACCAGAAGGTCAGTTGTCGCAAACTATCTACGATTTCTAACATGTAACAGCTTCAATGTCGACGAGGTACTCCTCGATTTGCCAACATCTGTCGCAATGTCGGCTCGCTTGCTGTAATGGCCTTCAGGAGAGTCGGGGAAAACGAAGGAAACCAAACTTGTAGATGGCACAGGGAAAAAATGAAGCTTCCTTCCTTTTCTATCCTTGTCTATCCTTTTCTATCCGTGTGTCACATTTTGTCGCTGATTCTGCTGTTTAATTACAATTAATTTGCACATGTTTATGGCACTAGGACTTCCGTGCTGCCAAAGCTCCAGGATAGGGCAGGGTGGTCGGTACTTTGAAATGATGCGAGCGGTGTGCCCAGTTTCAGTCAATGCGATGATCAGCTTGCCTCAGTGTACCCATTGTGTACCCGCACCCAGAGGTTGAGATCAGCCTACCAAAGCTGCGCGCATTGAAGATTCACATGATTCACACTTATTAAGTTATTCATACTTAACATTCATGAAGATTCAACTGGTGCCAAGGGGGAATGTGATCCCCATCGGGGATGTTCCTGGTAGGTTGATTGTGCTTCGAAGCAGGTCACCAAAGAACTATGCAACTGTACAAAGCGACAGACTGCGTTTCATTGCGTTCCACACCCAGGATATACGGCCATCATGGGCCATCATGGGCCATCATGGGCATCATGACATATCATGGCCATCCACTTTCTGGCTGAGATGCAATCAGAATCTATGACCGTCTTCACGGCGGAGGAACACACAGACTCGACCTCATCATCATGGAATCGTGGGAGAAGTGGGATATCAATGGTTATCATAGGAAAGTGATGGAAAGTGATAAATTTGAAAATCCGGCACTTGATGATACTTGATGACTCCATTGTCGAAGTCTGGTGTGCACAACTTTTCTTGGCCCCAACACCAACATGTTATGTTAGAAGTCATCACTCATCCACGAGAAGATCAAGAAGTTGATAGCAACACCCAGGTGTGGTGATGTCCAATCAATCTTTGTGTTGATGGCAGGAATCTGAGATCTGAGAAGTGGGCCGGACTCATGATATTCAGGTCCAAAGTCTTCATTCTGATGCCAAGGTAGAGAGACTGCACGGCGCAGCGGTTCAGAACTGCAGGAATTGTATTCTACAATTACCAACCTGCATCAACCTGCCTTGTAGTCCACCACCCTCTCTCCCACTTGGCAAATGTGACGCATGGTTGCAACTGCTTGTTCCGGGAACTTGCCACTGGCAGTCTCGCCGGAGAGCATCACAACATCCGTGCCATCCAGAACTGCGTTCAAGACCTGACGAGATATACACCTCTGAAAAACGACATTAAAGTACATAAAATATCACTACCCTTTTAAGGAGGGGGGGCGTACCCAAATTACAAGACACAATTTAGACGTTTTTGATTGAGGGAGGTGGTCCTGTCAAATGTTGGCAAGCATTTATTTTTTAACTGCGTCTTATTTGCAAGATTTCATTTTAGTAGGTCCCCTCATTCTTTACGGGATTTCATTTATTTTCTTAAAAAACGCAGGGGGGCGTTCAATATTGTCCATTGCATGTTTGAAAAAAATGTAAGAAATGTAAAAAAATAGTGTGAAGCTCTGCAAATAGCTGCAGAATTGCAGAAAATCAAAAATGCAAACTGGAAGTGTGTAGGTCCCCAATTGCCTGGTATTTCCAATACATTCTATACTTTTTCTACACCTTTTTTATCATTTCCACATGTAATATAGAGGTGTAGAAGGTATATTATTCCTTGCAAATTACTGGAAAATCCTTGAACTTCAAATAAATGTAAAATTAGATGTTGACGGTCTTCAAATTTACCTCCTACCTATGGAAAAAAACAATAGAATACAAATCAAGATCTCAAAAGGACCTCAAAAGGACCTCAAATGAACCTTTATGGGGTCCCCATGGCAAATCCCCTTTACGTACCTACATGATCGAACTTAAACACCCTTCTGCCACGGTTCCTATCTACCCCCCTTGTGACCCTCCAACCATAATATAATAACAATCTACACATGTGTCATGTTGATTCTGAAGGGAACTGTGGGACCTGAGGTGTAGGATGGTTACATGATTCTATCTTATCTCCACCTTCTTTTTTGAGCACTTTCCGCAAGGAATTAAGGACCTCAAGTGTAGGATGGTTACATTTTTATCATCTCATCTCTACCTTCTTTTTTAAGCACTTTCTGCCAGGAATTATAGGCCTCAGGTTTAGGATGGTTACATTTGTCTATCTTAGTTTTACTTTCTTTTTCGAACACTTTCTGCAAGGAACTATGGACCTCAGACATAGGTTGATTACATCCCCACAAAGACACCTCACAAACAGTTTACAAACTGCTTGCGGACATTTAATAATTTTTACCTCCCCCCACCCCCCCTATCCCTAGAGTACGGGGGTGGGTTCGGAGGGGGGTACGGAGTGACGTATCTCTTGCGGACTTTCAACCCCCTTCCCTAAATGTAAATCTTCCGGGGCACGGTTTTTGACGTAGGAGGGGTCTAAGATACATATAGCCTTCCCCATCGGGAAAAAATACGCAGGGGTCAAAATTGTTGCTTACATTTTTTGAACGCCCCCCTTGCTTACACCCCACGAAAAGGGTGGGGATCATAAAATATCATAACATAATATTATTTTTAAAAAAAACATAAAATACGTACATTAACATACATTAACATATAAAGAAATCATAAAATGCAGCCTAAAATCACATCAATAAATGTCAAGACTTCAGCAAGGACTACTTAGACTACTCCATCTTCAACCAGTTGCAGGCAATGTGTCCCGATGTGTCCCTGCAGCCGGTTGACATCCGTTGCTTCAGCACGAGTCGGTCGCGGAGCGCGCTCCATGGAATCCAACATCTGGGTGGCGGTCACCACGAATTTACCTCATCAGAACCAAGTGGTCTCAACCATGGGTCATTAAATGTCCCCATTGAACATCACCCAACCATTAGGTATATGTCAATATATGGTCAATGCCATGGCTACTAGAAGGTGATGTCCAATATACCCAAAATGGGACAGTTACCAACCCCTGTCAACCCGGTTCACCAAGTCGGTGATGTTTTACCTTTGGAGTCTCCCATGTTCTCACTGCTGGAACATATGATACTCGAAGAAAAGTACCTGGACGTACCTGGACTGATTTTCAGAGTAAAAGATAGTAAAAGTCCTGCCTTCTCCAGGTACTGTAGGTGCTACACGTCCAGCAGGAAAGTATAGGAAAATGACAATAAAACATGTTTACATTTTTTGTTGATTTGTTTTGTGATAAATTCAGTCATTCCAACGAACGGCTGAATGAGCCCTACCCGTAAGAGTTGCACATGATGCATCCAAAAGAAATTGTCTGATGAGAGAAACTTTTTCACACCGTCCAGAAGAAATTCGTTTGAAATTAATTGCACCAGTTTGTGCACTGTTTCTCATATTTGCTTATTTTTCTCCACATGTTTTTGAAATAAAGGCACTGGACCAGATGGAACGCTAGCTTTTTGAAGCATTTTCTTGCATGCACGTTCAGAACATGTCAAACGAAGAGCACCACGGAACATAGGCAATGTGCGCAGGGCAGGAAGACCGTCTGCAATCACAAGAAGACATGGCAAACTAACAATGCATGTAGTTCTCCCCGATTTTTTTGACAACTTATAGATCCTTCGCAAATTGTGTGCATTGACATGAGCACTCTAACCTTAAGTTGCATACAGGTTGGACACTCAAGGAACACCTAGCTTGGAATCCATTCTCAGTCGTCAAGATTCCCAGGCTGACCCTCAAGGTAAAGAACAATATTTTTAGTCCAAATTTTGGATGGGTAAAATTTCAAGCACGGTCAAGAACTGGTAGTCTCATGTAGTGATAATCTAATATATCTAATATATAATGTAGAAGCACGGGCATGAGCTTCACCGACTGGAACATCAAATAGGATCGAATAGGTATAAAATGGTATAGATAGGTAAAGCAATTGGATCAAGGATGATGATGGATGATTTTTTCTTTGTGCAGGGAGGTGCCTTTCAAGCCGTGAAATGATAGCCGTAGCCATGTCACATCTTGTAACATCTTGCCTTGCTATGGCCCTCGCATACAACATGTGCATTCAAATCGGCTCTGTTAAAGCTAAGATGCCTTTGATGTTGCATTTGCTGATGATCATCTTCCTCAGATTCAACTTGCTCCCAGTTTTGAAAAGGTTTGAAAGTGGGATGCATCCGCAATGCGAAAAGGGAATAATTATAATTACACTAGTTTGTACCAGTCGATGTTTTTTCCATAATGTTAGTTGCATGTTCTGTGCACTTCTGGGCACATTCCCTGCAGGCTGCCAAAGCACTGCACCAAACCCACCTTTTCAATGTCAATTTCCATGCCCATGTCACCACCTGTAGGCAAAGAATGGCAAAGACATTGAGCGAAAAATTGCCATGTTCTGAGCATTTCTGAGCTCAGTGGCGCTGGATGAAAACTGAGTTCCCAACGAGCAACCATGACACCATCAGTAGCATCGATGATTTGATCGATGTTGTTGATGCCCTCCTGATTCTCAATCTTCCTGAAATCCAGCAGCAAGACATTTCGCTGTGAAAAACTAGCAGAACTAGCACATCTAGTCCCTTGTGATCCCTTGTGCTGGCCACAGTATGCTCCGTGCTCCATTAAGTAATCTTCATTTATGAAAAAGAACATTAACTTGAAAAAATCTGGAAGATCTTGAAAGTACTTTAACAATCTTTAACATATCATCAATCTTTTGGGAGCAATGTCATGCAGTTTCCCATAGTTTCCCTACCACTTCCATCCACTTCCGCTGGGTGTCGAGATAATCTTGATGCTGCGCCCGCGCACGCCCAAAGTCTTGCGGATCAGCTTGATGTCCTCAGCATCCTGGCGAGATCGGCGGCGAGCCGTGAATCTCAGCTTCTCAGTGGGTCACTGGATGTCTTTGGGGTAAAGTCACCCAATCAAAATCCTTCAACATCTTTCAACCAGTTCAACAATGCAACGATTGGTCTGGAAAACGTCTGAATTCGTTTGAAAACGTTAACATGGAAGAAACATGACAAATAAGGAGTGTCTACCAGGAGGCAAGGCTACAAATGACAAATGAAGAACATGGAATCCTGTTGGTTCAAACTCAGAATTTGAGGGAGACATTGCAACAGTTGGAACCCCGGCACATGCGGCTGAACCAAATTGTTTGCTGGCCTGTACAAAGCTAGCCGCAACGAAATCGATTGCCTCAATCTTGCGACATCTGCGCTGGGTGCACTGAATATAAGGTGGCTACGAGATCAACCAGAAAATATTAGAAACAACGCATAATTCCTGGGACGATGTTACAGCGATGTTTCTTTTCAGTGTTACAAGCAGCAATTTCTTTCACTTGCCAGATCTTGCGAGCCACCCTGCCTGTGGAATACCAAACTCCAACAGGTCCTTTTTGTCTTTCTCCTGCAAGTTGAGGATGGCAGAGGGTGCAAAGCTCAAGATTTGGGCGGGAATTTCCGATTTCTGTCTATTTAAAAGTTATCTCGCTCCAATAACTGGAGACTTGCAAGCACAGACTTTTGCGGTAGTACAGCAATACGAGTAGCAGTAAACTCAAAATCCCAGGAAAAGGAGCGAACAGGTATTTGATACTAATTGAATCTATTTGATGCTACGAGTATTTGTCGAAAAACATGAAAAAACACACTGTCCAATATGCAAGCCAATGAACCTACAGAGAACATTCCGGTGCAAAAACTTGCCCCGGGCCGCCGCTCTCCTGC